GTTTTGTAAGTTTTTAAATTATAACACAACATTCTAAGGCATGGAGTAGTTGGTCCTGGGCCTTCAGATCATAGTCCATAGTCTTGAGGGACATCAAGCTCAATTAGTATAAAATAGTTCACACAGGGAGAAAAATGCAACAATGAATGAGTGGAAGTCCAAAATTTCTGTAAATGTTCAAATGAATAAAAAAATACTAAAAAATAGTTCACAAAGACAATGTTCTACTCCTAGTTTGATTCATAGCAACTAGAATATTAAAAGTTTTCAAGCTGAAGTACAACTATTACTCCCTTCTTGTCCAGAACAAAGAAGAGAGGGGAGAAGCAATTATGTTCTAAAAGAATTAATCTAAACTAACAGAGCATGCAGACTTCACCTTGCATGATCCTGAGACCAGAAGAATTAACTAATGCCTTTTATCAATTCTAAAGGGATCACAGAAGGTTATGGCTAGAGTAAATGAGGAACAAACCTTAAAAACATTTAAAAAAGCCCAAACTTACTGCTCTGATAGAGAAAAGCGGAACCCAAGACTGTGGTCCTTAGTTATGCTGTGAATCTGGAACAAAATTCACTTCCAGGATTCAACTCAGTCAAATCATAAACAGATCTGTAAAATGACCAAAGGAGGTCTGACGTCGTACTATGTCAATCTGCTAACAGAAAGATTAGGGATTTTAATTAACTACCTACTTCTGTAGAGAAATACTAGCTGTCTCCTCAAATATTTATATCTTTAGAAACATAATGGAAACGTGTCTTTATGCATCAGAATCCACTGGACAACAGAGGGTTATAATGTCACCAATAATATCAGAGAGTCAGTTACTCCTTAGAATAACCAACCATGAAAGAGCAAAGAAGCAGCATTTGACCAAAGAGAAAGCACATCATTTGACTAAACGGAAAGTTTAGAAGTCAGGAACGACTGGGATAGAAGGATTAATGAAAATGAGAATCACAGGCAATAAGTTGTAAGTGTATTTTACATTGTAGTTATTGTAATTAATACTTCGAAACAGCATGTGTATGAACAGTCCAACAAAAAAACAATGTTTGCAAATTTGTGCTAAAATGGTAATAAAAATAAATATATAAAAATATATTTGTTTAATAAAAAAGTATATCATCAGAAATGACTTAATTGCAAAGAATTTGATTTTGTGTTCATTATCACAGTAAAAGGGGTTTGAACTTTGACATATTTTGGGAGCAGCACAATTCAGTCCATAACATGGGAGAATCCTACTCTCTATGCATATGAAAAAAAGTATTTCAATGACTTGCTCTGACATCAGCTTTCTTAGTCCCTGGAATAAGAGTTCACAGGCAAAATTGTAACTGAAATTGGCACACCAAACTGGCTTTGAAGGTCATTATTTAAGCAATGGGAGAATAACATATTTCAGTCCAGAGAGTTTTATTAACATGTTCAAATTCTGCTTACTCTGGATTTTTCCTTTTGGATATTTGACCTCAGCTTTTCTTGTGTGTGTGTGTGTGTGTGTGTGTGTGTGTGTGTGTGTGTGTGTCTTCTTTTTCCCTCTGAGGACTTTGTCCTGAATGTTTTGTTATATGTGACTGATTATTCATGTGACATCTCTCCAGATGAAGAATCTACACTAAGAATTCTGATTAAGGTCCCAGTGAGTTTAATTATGGAAGAGTCACTCTTTGAGGTGCACTAATTAAGTGACTCAGAATACCTATTGACCTATTGCAGTTCAAATATAAATAAAGTATTGAAAGACTTATATCCTTACAACAGAATACTTGTCTATATAAATAGGAAATGAGAGAGGTTGTATGAAATATGACAAGAGTTGGTCACCAAGAAACATTGCTTGATCTGGTTATGGTGCATGTATTATCTTAATCTCTGTCACCACAGAGAAGGTGTGGATCAGTTATCTTTTAGGACAAGGGGAAAAGCACTGCAATACAAAATGTGGAATGTATGACTTCTTCTATTATAAGGTAGTATTTTTATACATTAGTCTTTACTAGGCTTGACATTACCCAAAAGTCCATTGGTAGTGTGACATGGTAAGTTAGTCTTTTAAAGGTAATTCTGATTCTGATCGTTGCCTTTATTAGAAATACTTTATAAAAGAGAAAATATGTAGAGATAAATTTAATTCCATAATACTCTTTTGAGCTTTCAAATACTCAATAGGACTACAATCACACAATCAAAAAAAAATAATTTCACACTATAAAAGTCACTTTACCTCCCCTAACATCAGTATTCTTAGAAATTCAGTTAAAAGACAACTATTTGGGAAATATTTTAATAGATTTTCTCTTAATCTTTTATTGTATTTGGGTCAGAATTGACTCTTAGGTATAGATAAACCTCCAGTTGGCTTCTGAGGCTGTTAACATCAAGGGAAGAGATCACCCATTATTCTCCCTATTAGTCCCTGGTGAATTTGAAATGCCAGAGAAGCATGACTTGGGGGTTAGCAGTGCTCTATGACTGTTAAATGCAAATCTATCTGAAAGGAAATATTTAAGGACAACTTAACATTTTATTCTATCCATTATTATATGGTTTACTGGTACCATTGTAAGGACTTTTGTGCTCATTTTAGAGGTGAGCTCTGGTGGCTGGTGGTAAGAAACTGCTACAATCCCGAGGGCAGGTGGTTCAAATGCACCACCTCCTTCATAGGAAAAGGATGGGCAATCTCTTCCCATTCAATTAAAACCCACTGGTAGGTCAGCTATGGTTTGCTTTGGTTCCAGACTTGATGGTACACAGGAATAGTAATCCATAAAGAAGATTAAAGTTTTTAAGCTTCATCAATGCGTGCTTTAATTCTTCCTCACTTGCTGAGGGAAAAGCCACTCCTTGGTTATACAGCAGGTTGTGTTCATTCTTTTTTTTCAATTCCAATGCCACATTTTTCATCACAAAGTCCAGTTTTGTTGATCTTTTTCACAATGTACATAATTAAATGTACCACCAGCACAAACATTTCTTAATTTTAATTTTCTTTTCCAGAGAAAAGGTAATGTGGCAATCTTATTTTATTTCACTATCTGTCCATTTTTATTTACCTATTTGTTATTACTTGTCAAAATTTCTGGTCATGGAACATATTTCAATCAACTTTATATTCTCATAATCTTGGATTATATGAAGACAGGATAAATCATAAAGCCTATTTGTAATAAACAAATTATCACAATGTGTCAAAATATCATGTCATAATTACATTACAGGTAAATTTATCCTGAATTCTGAAATAACAGCCATCAGAAGAACATATGGAACCAAGAAACAATGTGACTGAATTTGTCCTCTTGGGTCTCACTCAGAGTCCCTTTGGTCAGAAAATATTATTTGTTGTGTTCCTGCTGATCTACATGGTGACATTATTCGGAAACTTACTTATTGTGGTGACTGTGGTGGTCAGCCCAACGCTGGGTGCCCCAATGTACTTCTTTCTTGGTTACTTATCATTCATGGACGCTGTTTATTCGACGACGGTGACCCCAAGTATGATTATAGACTTACTTTATGAGAAGAAAACCATTTCTCTCCAGGATTGCCTGACTCAGATTTTTGTACTGCACTTGTTTGGGGGAGTGGAGATTTTAATTCTCGTGTCCATGGCCTTTGACCGCTACGTGGCTATCTGCAAACCCCTGCATTACATGACCATCATGAACCGACGGGTGCGTTTTCTGCTGCTGCTGTTAGCCTGCGTCGGAGGGTTTGTGCATGCTATAACACACCTTCTCTTTGTTTACAACCTTCCCTTCTGTGGTTCTAATATCATTGACCACTTCATGTGTGACATATATCCCTTGTTAAAACTTGCCTGCACTGACACCTCTATCATCGGTTTTACAGTGATTGTCAATGATGGAGCTGTTTGCATAATCATCTTTTTGCTGTTACTCATCTCTTATGCAGTAATTCTTCACTCCCTGAAGAACCTGAGTCAGGAAGGGAGGCGCAAAGCCCTATCCACCTGCGGCTCTCACATCACCTTGGTGGTCCTGTTCTTTGTCCCCTGTATCTTTACATATGTCCGACCTCCTTCCACTCTGCCCATTGATAAATCATTGACTGTGTTCTACACTATCATTACTCCTATGTTGAACCCCTTAATCTATACTCTGAGAAATGCTGAGATGAAAATTGCCATGAAGAAACTTTGGAGCAGTATAAGAAAATGACAATGAGGTACAACAGTGGCAAAGTTGAACAGGGCAGCAAGTAATAGATGTTGGAGAGGATGTGGTGAGAAACGAACTCCTATACATTGTTGGTGGGATTGTAAAATGATGCAACCATTCTGGAAGGCAGTTTGGCATTTCCTCAAAAAGCTGAACATAAAAATTCCATATGACCCAGCTATTCCACTACTTGGAATATGCCCTGAGAATATGAGAACTGAGGCACAAACAGAACATATTGTACATAGCAGCATTATTCACCATCACAAGAACATGCAAACAGCCCAAATGTCCAACTTTGTAAATTATTACCTAGCTTGGAGGGGGGTGGGGTAAGACTGGAGAGCATTTTGCTGAGTGACCTAACCCAGTCCCACAAGGATAAATATTGTATAAAACCGTTATTGTAGAATGAGTATAACGATCCTGGAGCGATGGGAGAGGCTGGAAGTAGAGGGATGTGGATATGCAGGGGAAAATGGGGGAAGGGGCTTTAATCATTGGGTTGTACAATTTGATGGGGGGGTAAGGGAAATTGAAAGAATTTTTTGAATTTGTATTTGAGTTGTGTAAATAAACTAGTTAGAAAATCAATTTTAAAAAAAGAAAATGAGACAGCAAACAAACGCATTGCCTACTTTTAATAAAGAAATGCCTGTAGTACAGAAACGAAACAAAAAAATACAAATTCTTTGCTTTGAATCACTGCTAGGAGCAATTAATTGTGTTAAATATTTCCTTTGATTACTTAAATAATGCATGTTGAAGACTTTTATTAGCATTATTTGATGTTAATTTTTTAAAAAATATTTTTAAAATGTTCTTTTTAGAAAAATGTGTGTTTACTGTTTTCCACATTAAGATTGTGTTTCACACATGGATTTTTGTTCTTTATGTTTACATGCCTCATATATTACATATTTTCTCAATTCTCTTATATAATCTGATTATGGCTCTCTTTTACAATAAATGATGCTTATTACACATTTCAGAATAGTACCATTTGAAAGAAGGTATAAGAATATGTTTCACCTTGAAGGTTATTGATTATGTGTCCTAAAGAGAGCAGACCTGGTTCAGTAATTATCTCCAGCACAACTCACAGGCGCCAATTCTTCTACTGTCATCTTTGGTCACTGTCGATATGCTGCGGTTGATCGTACCACAATTCAAAGGCATTGGTTCTTCTGTTATCCTTATTCACTGTGCAGCAATCAGATGTCCGGTAAGGGATTGGCTATAACAGTCTGAATCAAGGGCATGATAGCCTTCAAACTGACATTGTTGTTACTCAGTACTTTGGAAAGTCTCTGACAGCAGACTTGTCAAAAGCAATTTGCTTTGGTTCTGACCCATAGCGGGCCCTCCAGCAAGGCTTTGGAGGCAGTTAATCTCATAGAAGGAGATTGTCTATCCTTCTCTCGTGGAGCAGCTGGTGAATTCCATATGAATTCCTTGAGGATTGCAACACAGCTTCTTACAACTAGGCCACCGGAGAGCTGTCTCCTGATCTCTTGACTGCTGATACCAAGGATGTTGATTGTGGATCCAAGTAAGACAAAAGAGTTCATGATTTCAATCTATTCTCCACATAGTGTGTGTGAGTGTGTGGATACATTGTTATAGACTGTCAAGTTGGTAACAACTCACATCTGGCCCTCCAGTGGGTTTTTGTTGTTATTGCTGTTGTGTGTCCTCAGAAGGAACTGACTCATAGCTGACCCTCCAATGTGTTTTCCGAGGAAGCAAATTTCACAGGAGGAGAGTGTCCATCCTTCTTCTGCAGAGCTGCTGGTGCATCTGAGTCATGAGCCTTTGGGATTGCAGTGCAGACTCTTAACAATAAGCCTTTAGAACTCCTTAAGGGATTTTGTTGTTGTTGTTGTTGTTGTGCGGTGCTGTGGAGCCAAGTAAAACTCACAGCAATCCTATGAACAGCGGAACTGAATGCTGCCCTATCCTTTGCCATCCATAAAGTCTCTGATTATTAGAGGTTAATTACACAGGATGAGATTGCCTTTCTCCTATGAAGCAACTGGAAGATTTGGACTCTATTACTTTGGGATGACAGGCAAATGCCTTACTAGAGCTTTCTATTCTATATAAATTTAATTACACATTACATATAAATATATATATAAATATGATATGGTGATCAACATATATAATGGATATATATATATAGTAATATGATATGGTAATCAACATGTATAATGGATATGTATATATATAGTTGCTGTTGTTGTTTGATATGTTACTAGAGCTTTCTATTCTATATAAATTTAATTACACATTACATATATATATA